GATAAATCGGCCAGTTTTGGTCGTGTCGATATAAGAACGGTATAATTGCAAACTAAATAAGCTAATCTTTGTTGCCATATAAAAATTATATCGTTTACTGTAATATTTTATACACAACAGCCTGTCAAAGTTCGATTCGAATTTTTTTTATACACACTCTACGTCATGTATATATAAGCTATACATCTTGGTAAATCATTTTATTTTGGGGATTTTTACACGGGTTATCACATTCAAAATCCCTTACAGCGGAAAATAATTTGCATGCTTATGGGCATTAAATGGTTATGACTTCAGGAAGAGTACAAAACGAATGAAGTAAAGTCTTTCCTGATCATACACATGTAGATATATGTTTACACTTATGTCTTGTTCTATATAGTTTTAGTGCTTAGTATATGTGGCAATATTATTCCAAGAGTGTACTTACCAGTTCGATCGAGTAATTTTTATTTAGATATCCGTCAAGCACAGGTGGGGTGTATCAAGGGCTATCTTTATAAAACCAAGAACGGGTTTGAGAAACCAGGAACGGGGAATGAGAATCTCCGGAATCTTTAAAACACGGAACGAGAATCTCCGGAATCTTTAAAAGCCGGAATTAGAATCTCCGAAATCTTTCAAACACGGAACAAAAATCTCCGGAACTTTAAAAGCCGGAATTAGAATCTCCGGAATGTTTAAAAGCCAGAATGAGAATCTCCGGAATCTTTAAAACCCGGAACGAGAATCTCCGGAATCTTTAAAACCCGGAATGAAAAATTCCGGAATCTTTAAAACCCGGAATGAGAATTTCTAGAATCTTTAAAACCCGGAATGAGAATCTCCGGAATCTTTAAAACCCGGAATGAGAATCTCCAGAATCTTTACAACCCGGAATGAGAAACATGTAAAGTGAAGGAGCACTAAAATAAATCCCGTTCTAAAAAAGTTATGTCATTCAATATCAACTTTTTTGACATAAAAACAATGAATGTGTGATAAAATGAGGCTGACTCTTGAATTCTGTCGTTGGAAGTTTCCAGATTCGATCTAAAACGTGAAATAATGTTATTTAAATAGCCATGCTACAGTGCTACTACGCACGCAATTTGTTAAACCAATGTCAAGTCTAAAATATCGTGAAAATCAAGCGTTATCGGAGTGCTTCTTATCCAGGCAAATTATTGGAGCATCATCGAAGCCCTATTTTCTCTAACAATGCGTTTTTCTTCGCCTCGTCGTGGTCCTTGTCCTCGCTGTCTGACAAATATATGAAATGAACATTGAAAATTGGAATACACTGGACAAGTGGCAGAAGGCATTCAATACGATCGATTGAATACATGCCCACATCCGTGGAAAAACGTTACAAAGTTTACTATGTTTTGTGTAGTCAGGTGCATCATATCTTCTGTGATTAAAGCTGTTAAAAAGTAAGTTTTATCAAACCTAATATTACTATTAATATTGAGAGTAGTTTGGAAAAGCTAGCACTCAGTTCTAGCTTATATATATATTAAACTGAAAAACACTGAAACGGTGAAATCCTTGCCCTCTCCCCTGCCCCCTCCCGTACCCTATCATTTCAATGCCTAATGGTAGTTGCAGGTTTGACAGGTACTCCCAGTGTATTTATAAACAGATTTGGTACATTTTTTTACCAGAGCCAGTCTGATGCACATAGACAGTCGAATCTAATTTATTCACACAAAAATTTGAGCAGTTTTTGAACAAGTGAAATTATAACCATAACTTTCCTCAGAAGAAAGAAATCAAAGGCCTAACAATAACAATGTTAATTTAGCTTGTTTATCCAGCACATATCATTGGCCTTTGGTTAAAAAAGGCAGCACTTGGTTTGTCACGTACTAGCTATTTGTTTTCCAAAGGGGTTGACATTTCAATTGTCATTTAGCTTAGGGTTGTTGAACTGTCAACTGTCACATTAATTTACATGAGTGTAAAGGGATTCAAATTTGTGTTAGGAATTTAGCTTCCTAAATTATATATATATATATATACATTTATATATATATATATATATATAAATGTATATATATATATATATATATATATATATATATATATATATATATATATATATATATATATATATATATATATACATATATATATATATCAAGAGCCAGCCTTTCAACATACTTGTATATACATCAATATACAAAAAAGTAAAATGAAATAATAACTTTATTTTACGTTTCGGGGCAAGCCCCTTCGTCAGAAACGAAATAACCATTTCGTCAGGTTATTTCGTTTCTGACGAAGGGGCTTGCCCCGAAACGTAAAATAAAGTTATTATTTCATTTTACTTTTTTGTATATTGATGTATATACATATATATATATATATATATATACATATATATATATATATATATATATATATATATATATACATATATATATATATATTATATAATATATATATATATGTATATATATATATGTATACATATATATCAACATTTCTTAAAACCTGGTGGTGAGTTTGTGTCAGCCGTGACGGGGAGAAAGTTTAGTATTCGTAAGACTTTGACGTGTACCTCTGAGCATGTTATTTACCTAGCTGAGTGTGTGGCTTGTAATCTGCAGGGCATTGGTTCTACAATTAATTTCAAGCCCCGTTTAGCTAATTACAAGTCCCACATTAAACATGGTCGTAGAACATTCGGTGTAGTTAACCATTTTATTGATAAGCATGACAATAAGCATTTGAAATTGAAGTTTATGTTGATTGATCAAAACAAAGAGGATTTAAGAAAGTGTGAGAACTTTTGGATAGGAATGTTATTGACTAATTTGGGTGGTTTGAATAGCACTCATGACTTTTCTCAACAATAGGCTATAATTTGTATTATGTATTATGCATGTTCTTCTCCTTATATATTGGACTTATTTGTATTAGTTAGTTAATTTCTGAAGAAGGCTGCGGCATGTGGCCGAAAATTTAAGCTTAGTATATTTTTAATAAAATCTTTTAGTTTTACTTCTGGCCGTGGTAGTTACAATTGTTTCCTATATGTCTTTGCTACCGAGCAGTGTGGGAATACTTGTTGGTTATATATATATATATATATATATATATATATATATATATATATATATATATATATATATATATATATATATATATATATATATATATATATATACATAGATATATATATGTTTCACTTTCATTTTACCACTAAAATATATTTTTTAGGTGTCACCACAGGCAGCCCGGTCACTGCTGTTACGTCATGCTATTATATATGTATATAATTAAAATAAGGCTGGCAACTCTCTCAACAAAAAATATAATCCCCGAGCACCGAGCGAGGGTACTAATTCCGCCCGGAGATTTTGATTGCGCCCGGGAATGAAAATGCGAAATGAAAGTTGTCCGCCATTATGTCATGGACGTTGGGCGTTTTTGTAAGTTATGCGCATTCGTGAGCTTAAGACGAGTTAAAACTGGTAACCAGCAAACGTTTGCAAGCGTGCGATTGGCTAAATTAAAATTTTGGTTCGCGTCAGCATATAACTGATATTTTGAATTACAAAACTTTTTAAAAACCATTTTTCATTTGGATGGTTTTGAAAATATACGGAAAAATTCACTCGTAAAAATGATTAAAATGTAAAGTAGATGATGCTTTCGGGTAGAAAAATTTTGACTCAAATAAATGATGAAAAATCTACGATTTTAAAGCATTTTTGGAGTGTTTTTAAACAGATAAATAGGTAGATTTTGAATTTTAAAGCATGCAAGAATTTCGTAGTTTAACTTGTAGATTTATCACCAAACGTACGACACCTCTTTGAATTTATTCGTCAATTTCGTTAAAATGATTTTGATTGGGAAAGCATTTATTTTTAAAGGTCAATCTGTTTAAAAAGGAATTGAAATTTATCTAAAGATTGTAGTATTTAAAACTATTCGTAGCACAATTTATAATGAATTACGATTATAGTTGAATGTGATAGCTCGAGAGTCGACTTTATAATGTACCAAGATATAGGATTTTACTTACACGGCTTCGATCATTCAGCAGAAACGATTTCAGTGATGGAAATATATGATTATTGCTTCAGGCGAGGGGACTTTGCATGCAATGTATTTCTAGTACATACATTAATACCATCGCTTAAAACAAAAATACTACGCTAGTTTCTTAAAAAAAATAGATACAAAACACCTTGGATATATTGACTATATTTATTTGTAATTTTTAGACTTGAAAAAAACTCTAAAATGCTCAAATTTTGCCAATTAAAGGTGTATTTTCGTTGAGATTTTGCGAAACAGAGGCGGGATGTAATTTACTCGACAAACGTCATCATCGGAGAATTCGTCGGCAAACTTCTGATTGGCTGTGGCAAGTTCGGAAAATTACGAAGATCTTTTTTCTTGATTGAGTTGATATTCATAATTTTCCGAACTTGCCACAGCCAATCAGAAATTTGCCGACGAATTCTCGGATGATGACGTTTGTCGAGTAAATTATATCCCGCCTCTGTTTCGCAAAATCTCAACGAAAATGCACTTTTAATTCGCAAAATTTGAGCATTTTAGAGTTTTTTTGAAGTCTAAAAACGACAAATAAATATAGTCAATATATCCAAGGTGTTTTGTATCTGTTTTTTTTTAAGAAACTAACGTAGTATTTTTGTTTTAAGCGATGGTATTAATGTATGCATGTATTATATTTTTGAGAGAGAGTTGCCAGCCTTAAGGCTCTTTTCCACTCATCGCAAAACGTCCTCGCAGCGAGCTTGCGAGGAGTCTCAAACCGCGCTGCCAATTTCCACACTTAGCTTTGCCATTAATTCGCGTGCTATTTTCGCGCTATTTTTACTTGCAAAATGGCGGCTGCCTTTAATCGGCGCCTTTTGCTATTATTGTATTTAAGACGTCGTAGGCGAAGACGCCTAAAGTATTTAAAGCGTTTTTGGGTTAGGCCGATTTTCCTAAGACGAGAACAACATGGGGAGTACTTCAAGTTGGTTAAAGAAATGAAAGACGAAGACCACGAAAGCTACTTCGCGTACTTTAGAATGCTCCCTCGACAATTTGATTTCTTGTTGTCTCTGGTTGAGCCTCTTATCGGCAAATGCAACAGGAGAAGAGATACTATTTCTTCATCAGAAAGGCTTGCTTTGACATTACGTTATTTGGCGTCTGGTGACAGCCCTCAAAGCTTATCATTCAGCTACAGGATTGGCTTGACTACTGTTCATAGAATAATTGGGGATGTTACTGAAGCAATCTGGTCCACTCTTTTGAGTGCAGGATATATTAAAGCACCAGAGAGTTCTTTTGAGTGGGAGAAAATAGCAGGAGAGTTTGAAAGACGGGGGAACTTCCCTCATTGTTGTGGAGCCATGGATAGAAAGCACATCAGGATGCAAGCTCCCCCATCAGCTGGTAGCAGATATTATAATTACAAACTGTGGCACAGCATTGTCCTACTTGCAGTTGTATCAGCTGATTATACTTTTTTATTGATTGATGTTGGTGACTGTGGTCGCCATAGTGATGGAGGTGTTTTGCAGAACTCCCACTTTGGTGCAGCGCTGTTAACAGATCAACTTGGTTTACCATGCTCAAAACCACTTGCTGGTGTGGATCCAAATGTAAAGATACCTTTTATGTTTGTGGCTGATGAAGCATTTCCATTAAGATGCAACATCATGCGTCCATATCCTGGCAAGAACCTGACAGAAGCAAAAAGGGTCTTTAATTACCGTTTATCAAGGGCGAGGAGGATTGTAGAAAATGCTTTTGGCATTGCTGCATCGAGATTCCGCATCTTGAGACAAGAAATTATTGCCAACCCTAGCAAAGTAGAAAGTATTTCCAAAGCAGTTGTGGCCTTACATAATTTTCTAATAGTTTCTGAGCAGGATGTACCTGCTGGGTCTAGGATGTATTGTCCACCAGGATTTGCAGACTGTGAAGACAGGTAAGAAAATTTTTACTTGAATTTGAAGTTTCTATTTGAATAATTTTCCCTGGATAATTTAATGCAGATTTTGCATTGTTTGTACCTAATTTAATTACACCTATAATTACAAGTGGTAGGAATATGTAGATGGCATGTTTACAAGATGCCATCTTGGACAACACCTAATTCTTACCCACTGTGTCTATTTCACCATTTTACAAAGATGTATGGTAAATTTAACAGGTTTTTAATCATTCCTTCAATTTGTAGATCAGGTAATTTAGTTGCTGGGCAGTGGAGGCATTTACCTACTGGTGAGACTACACTTCAGTCCCTGAGCAGGCAGGGAAGCAATTTTTTTACTAGAGATGCTGAACAAGTACGAGAAGAACTAATGAAATACTTTTGTTCAGCAACAGGACAGGTTTCATGGCAGCTGCAACATGTTCGTGCAGATGGTAATGATGCAAATTAATCCAATTCTGCATAGTTTTATTGGTTGTGTTAAATAATTAAGCCATACAGAAAAATGGTTGTGTGAAATTTTTGAAATAATTATATATCAAACAAAAGGGGCAAATACTGCAATTTCAAATTCAAATTTTGTATTTAGTAGTTTATACAGAAGAGTGTACAATTAAAAAGGAATAGAATGAATTTACAGTATATAGTCGTGCTATTAATACAAAATCACACTCATGATTAAATAATGCAACCTCCTACTGTGTGATCAGCTTTTTTGTAATCATTTGTATGATTTTTGCATTAATAGACATAATAGTACTCCTATAAATCATTCGATGAATTTGTAATTAGTTTGGAGGATAATATTTATTAACAATTAATAACCAATTGCAAAATACAATAATTGTATGAATTTATAACATATTTCAACATTTTTTTCCAACTGTATTAAATATATGTATATATGTACATTAACAAATATATGTATATCAATTATATAAATTATATATCAATTTATTATATAAAATAATTCAGAATAAACAGGTTCACACAACACAAAATGTTCGAAGTATAACCTCAACAAATTTGAAAAGACTGTTTGGTAGCCAAGATTAATTTTCTGTGAGTGGCAACCCACACTCAACTTGAAACAATACTTCTGTGATTTTCATCTTTGCTAAAGCTTTCTGATAATTATCAAAGCTTCTCAGTGTGTGGGCAATCGAGTTTCCAAAGGAAGCCTCGGAATCTGTTTCACTTTGGCCAACATTGGAACTTTTATCTTCCTTTAACAATTTCAAGAGTGCTATATCAACTTCCTGGTCAACATTTTTTTTTCTTCTTTATCGGAGAATTATGCACACTTGATGGCATTCTTTTTAAATCTAGCTTCTCTGTACTAGTTTTGTTCTTGGTTGACACTTCAGAAGAAGAAACTTCCAATGGCAATGTGCTACTGCTTTGCAATGGTAATTCAATTTCAATGCATTCACCTTTCTCTGGACAAGCTTTTCCTTCATTTTCACTGTATGTTGGCACAAAACCAATGTTACTGGAACTTGTTCTGTGTGAAATGCAATCTCTTACAAACTGCATATGCTCGAAACACCTCCATCTTATCACTTTCTTTCTTCCTGATCCAGATGGAAGTTTTTCACGTCGAACATTTTCTGTAAATGTGTCACGAAGTCCTTTCCATTTAGTTTGACAAATGTGAACTGTATAAATGTAATGGTAGAATTACTAAAAGGCCATTTTAATTTCTTACAAAACAAACGCCTATGTTGTTTACTTTTCAAAACTTCCAAACTTGAGTTGAGATACGATTGGGATAAATAAACAAGCACTGCGTAAAATATTAAACAGAAAGAAAGCAACTAATACTTTTATTATGGCGAACACAAACAAAAAAAAAGCTAGAAATCTTCAACTAACCTGGAAATTCCAGTTCATCAGCGACTTTCTTCCATGCATTCTCTTTCATACTTTTGTTCTTGTACTCTTTATATGTGACATCGAAGAGAATATTGTATTTTTTAACATTTTCTATTAGCATTTCAATCTTGGTATTTGTCCAAACGATAGAAACATTGACATCATTTTCCACGTTTTCTTCCTCAATCGCAGCCATTTTGCTCTCACTGTCAGTCACGTGACATTTTAAACGAATTTTATTGGCTAATAGAACTTTTGTTCGCGCAAGCAGAAAATATTGTTCAGATTATTTAACTTTGCTGCAAATCATAGTACCTCGCTGCGAATTACTCGCAGGCACTCGCAGCGAGCTTACGAGTGGGTTTTGCGATGAGTGGAAAAGAGCCTTAAGTGCATGGGAGTTACATATTGGTTAGTGCCGGATTAAGTTTTCGTTATAGAATAAACTAAACGGCCTAGGCCTGATTTTAAATTCAAACTCCTCAATCTTGCTTATTTGTCAATTTCAGAAAAATATTTTACATAAATATCTAGCAATATGATTGCTTAGGGACGGTGAGGTATTGAAATAAGACTCCCTCAAACAAAACAAGCACAATGTCATGCTATTGTTAGGATGACTGCAGGACTACCAGGACAATTAATTACTCACCTAATTACCTCAAAGTCGTAGCTAGGATTTCAGCCCTTCTGATTACTTTCTGTATACGCTTTCTTGCATTGTAAAATATAGCGAGTTTCCTGTTTCGTTAGGATTGATCAAAACAGAGTTCAGGCCTACTTTAAACGACTTATTTTGGTCCCGTCGAATGCAATTCAAACAATATAGATAGTGAGATGATGAAACTTAATGAGGTTTATATCATGTCACTACCTATACAGGGTGTCTCAAAAAAAAACGCAACCACTTAAATATGCAAGAACATTAATACAGCTCTAAGGCGGAATAGATAAGCACCTCTGGGAATTGAAAATGGCTTTTAATTCTTCAATTAAAATGCTAAGAGCATTTTAGCTGAACTATGGTCCAAACCCGGACAATATTAATATTCTTGCATATTTCTTGCATATTGCGTTTTTTTTTGTGACACCCTGTATTGTTTGAATTGCATTCGACGCGACCAAAATGCGACGTTTAACCTTGGCCTAAGTAAACAAGGTCAGTTTGTGAACTAACATCTAAGTTCTTTGTCCCTTGTGAGTTTCAACTTGAATTTTTTTAATAATGTTTGCAAATTAGTCACAACTGGAAGGTTCAGTGAAACTGAGTGCCCGGCACCGGGGCGCAAAGTCAAAACTGGCTCATATAAAACACACTAAGCGCGGTGCCCTTGTTGAATACCGTGCCCAATTTCATTTGAAAGCGTCATGATAGGCGTCGGCGTCAGAGAAGTAATGGGCACCACCTTGAAAAACATCAGAAAAGTAACGGGCACCATGCATGCAGCGCGCATAACACCGTATCTTTGTAGCAGAAATACATCTTATTTTGTATAAGTGATAAATAACTGCGGTCTCACAATGGATGAAGAACGTTTTTTGCCCAAATTTAGGTAACACAGTTATTAGAGGAGACTGCGGTGTCGTTTGATTGTTCACGGCAAAATAAAAAGCAGATATCACACAATTTACCTACATCGCGATATTGCCATTATCTAAATCCAATACTTATTTCGGTTATTCGGTTGTATTTAGCCACCAAGTTAAGTCAAATTGTTAACATTGCAGCAGTGTATGAGTATCTACTTAAAATATAGATTACTTCATGGTTGGCAGGTGTGTACGATTTTTATGCACGAGTTGTGAAGAATGGGAAAATGAACGAATGAGCTTAGCGATCCTTTAGAACGAGTTTGCTATCCAATGAAAGCTCCGTATTACCATCACATGCATTGTATTCTTTACCCCAATAAAGATCAGACAATTTGAGACGAATTGTGACAAAACTAATTAGTATTCATTAACTTTGATAGAAGTCTAATAAGTCTTAAAAAAACCCTTTTTTTACCTAGTACATACTACAGAGACAATTTAACCGGATCCAAACAGGGCATTTGCAGCAGAATGTTCCTATTCGCCGTTAAATAGTTTCAGCCAGAGCGACTAGATTATATTTAAAGTGGCTAAACTATTTAAGTGAGACCAAAATAGCCGATGAATTTATTAGAAAAATAACATTGGTCTGGTCGGAAACGTAAAAAGCGACGATGAATTAATTCAATATTTTTATATGCAGTGCAATGACAGTAAATAAGTGCATGGAGAGAGTGTTACTTTTTTTCGTAAAAACAAACAATTGTTGCCTATAATTATGTTAAAGTGATCTAAACCCAGAAATTGTTTGAAAAACATGCTATTAAACATTTTTGAGCATGTCCAAATCTGATATTTTAATCCCTGGGTCATATCAGTCAGTTGCAGTTTCAGACATTCAGTCTCGGTTTATGCATGCTTAATTAATTTAACTTTGTTTAGACCTAGTCTGCTTTTCATTTACTTCCAGGTGGATTCCGTCCAATAAACAGTGCCTTCTAAATATTTCATCCAACGAAAATACGCGTTCAACAGGTGTCTTGGATTATCCAACGCTGCTTGCACTGGTTATAAACGCACGGTCTACATATGCAAGAAAGTGAAAAAATGAACGTATAAGAGCAAAACCTTGAATCGTAATAGATATGCATGCATGGGGATATCTTTCGAGACGAATTTTCCAGTGGTAGAAAATTGTCTTGATTTTGCCAGTCAGTTGAATTTCCTGAGACAAAATATTTAATTTTTTTTCATTTGATCAAATAAGCTAAACTGTTTACGAAAGCATGGAAATACTTTTTCGTTCGCGATGTCTCTTTTAGGACAAATTTACACTTACTGCGGATATCTTTCTTGTCCATAGCAAGATTAATTCGTCGTCTTTCGTCACGAATTTTCTTTTCCTTTGAGAAAGCGTCATGGAACTACCACAAATATATACTGAAGTTACTTGAAAGTTGTATATAGCCAACGATACACACTAAGTCTTACTCTCATCATTCACAACTCCCTTGCGCCACACCGAACGCAAACTAGCACAGTTTAATCACAAGTCAAAAAATTACATGATACATGACTTAAAATTGGAACAACATTTAAGTTTTAATTTCAGTTACGTTTGTCGTACAATCATCATGCGCAGGGGCGTACAGAGTGGGGATGTGGGGGTGAACCCCCCTTTTTTTGCAAAATGGTCGGTAATATAATGCGGAATTGATGGTGGCCGGTTTTTAAACAATGGCAATCGGTAATTTTTGAATTTATGGCATCAAGTACGCCACCACAAAAGTGGGAACAAACAGCATAGCGTTGAGCAATGAGCAAAATGTGAAAGGTTGAAATATGGGCCCTTGGAGGAAATAAAAGTGAAAGAACCAGCTGGTCGATAGGCGTATAATTGCAAACCGGTAAATGTACGACCATACGTATGCGATTTAGTATCAAATGTGGTATACCAACTGCCTAAAATAGACAAAACACTTCTCGTCGACGTTTCGACCTGAGGGCCTTCGTATATATATATATATATATATATATATATATATAATATTATATATATATATATATATATGCGATGATTTTATATTCATTCTATGCATGTGTTTGATAACAACCATTATGTCATGAAATGAAACTTATATAGCACAACACCGCAGAAATTGGTGTTTATGAAGTTTTAAGTATGAAAATCCGAATACTGGTTCACATTGTGCATTGCTGAGTCACTATGAAAGAGAAAACTTTTGAATAACTTCAAAAAGTTCGGTTTTTCTTCCGAATACGCATTCTACAATTTTTTGACAGCTCATCATGCATATCTAACAGCTGTGAAGTGGCCATTTTGAGGCTTAAAGTATACACAAGGTTATTAATTAAGATAATTCGTTTTTGCCGTGTTCAAGTTTTAAATCTTTTGTGCAAGACGTATTTTGTTGATAACTTATAATTTTTTTTTCTCACCAAGTTTGAAGCCTAAGTATTGAGAATTGCGGCTAAGTATTTTTCAATTTTATCAATTTCTGCGGTGTCATATAGCACACTATGCCGGGCAGCCCTCGTCACGTATTTCTAAAAAAATTATTTTTCGATGTCGACTTATATTTATTGGTAATAATTTCTTATTTAAACAATTTACTGGGAAAAAGAAATAGCATAAACATACCTTTTTATTTAGAAGCACAAAAAAAACAAATATCATCAATCCTTGTATCGAGTTGAATATTGCGAATAAATACTTAAACGCAATTGTATCTCGGTTGAATACCAGCAAAGCAAACACCCACGTCAATCCAAGAACTGGTAGAAGAGTGCCTGAACCTATCAGACCCTTTCTTGCCCTTTTTAACTTGTTGTCAGAGTCTGAACAACTTGTCCTTACTTCGCTGGTCGATAAAGCTTTTCGTACAGCCAGAACAAAAACAAAAAGGTTGATCTATAGCGAGAATTTTAGCGACAAATTAAAAATAGAAGTATTTAAAAGCAAAAGCGATATTGATGTCCTTGTGGGTCATGCACCGTTTATAGCTAAGACGCTCAGTGGTAAAGAAAGAACGCAGAGAAATCGACAGGGACTTTTTAAACTATAAAATTGGGGATGGGGGGAGTTTAGGTGACGTTTACGCTCCCAAGTCCTCGCAACTAATGGCATTTCGCCCTCCTAGTGAATAAGATTCTTCCATTTCAAAGTATTAAACATTTATGAAAAGTCTCAAAAATGAAATAATTTTTATGGTACAAAAGAATAAAATAAAAGGCCCCTTTTGTTATTTCGCCCCTCCCCCCACCTAGAAATCCTTAAAAAAGGAAATAGGATGATGGAAGCGATTGGCAATAATTATCTTTTTAAAGAAGCACTATGTAGCTTTGCACAGAAAACATGCATTTTTAACCCCTTTTGATATAATTTTGCGCAAATCGCTGCTGTATAATATATTGAAAAAAGTTTAGAAAGGTTTTAAATTTTTTTTTCAGCATTTTTTGGAGCGGACGTAATCAAAGATACTGTTCTGTCAATTCTGTTCTAGCATTTAAATGATTGGTCGGAAAAAGGTAAAAATTATTACCTGAATGGAAATATATGGCAGGCATACAGTTCATTCCGATCTATCACATATTTTTAATCGTGTTTAAATATATAGTGCATGCATCTTACACGTTAGCTTA